CAGACGTTTCTGCCAAGAAAAATAAGAAATCATTTGAGCAAAATATTAAACTTCCAACCTTTGTCACATCTGGATTTTTCTCTTAAAGAAATATTATTCATAGAAATGCTATGAATTTAGATAATTACCTTCACTGGAATGACTTTGTGTTTTACACACAGCTAAATTTAGTTGGGAAAGATCAAGTTCAGTCTAAAGCGAATGTCGAATCTCAGGGGCCAAATGTATAACAGGAGATATTACAGACATAAATCCTGCAGGTGTCTGCTTCAGAAGATTGGAGTGAAATGTAAAAAAAACGTAGATTTTGCTGCATTATTCCTGAATTAGTAGGTTATAAATCATTCCTTCTTTGCGTTTCATTGTTTAAAGTGTCCAAATAGTCAGAAAAACGGAGTTTAAGTTGCGCTGGAAGGAGTTAGCCTCAAGTAGCATCTGAATGCTAACATGTAGCAGAGGCACAGACATGCTAACGTTAGCATCCACATTTCTGAAGAAGTTCCGTTTTCACCAATATGATGGTTGAACACATTGAATAACAGATTAAAAACAATATTTTTTATGTCTGTATGTATATTTATTTAAATATTTAGCAGCAAAAAGGGTATTTGAATTGAAAATGTTCCTTATTTTGTCCATATATTTTTTTGGATTAAGAACAATTAACTAATTAATGACTCCTCATTTAACTCTATGAAATTTAATCAAGTCTCCCCCGTAACTAAAGGGTTGTTTACCCCTGAAACTAGTCTGCACTGCAAAAACATTAAATATTACCAAGAATTTGTATCAACTTTCTAGTTCAAATATCTTAGCAAACTTAAAATAAGACAAAACTAAATTACAGTTTACCTTTCAAAAACATATTGTTGTTTGAAGAAAATTATTTAATATTGGATTTAAAAAGCATTAGTTCCATTGGTCGATTATTTCACTAAAAGCAAGACATTTTTACTGTCATAAGTGAAATAATCTGCTACTTTTATCATTAATATTATAAAATTATTTACTTAAAACAAAAAAAGTTACTTATAATTTAGTTTAGTCTTATTTTAAGTGTTCTAAAATATTTAAACTAGAAACTAGACCAAAATCACTTGGTGAGATTTTGTGTTTTTGCAGTGTAAACGGTGTTTCAGTCTGGGTTTTATGAGTTGCAGTACCTCAATGTGAGCTAAAGGAGGCAGTGTGGTCAAGCAGGAGACTTTATGGTGCAGCTTAACGCCAACCACCTGCCTGAAGCAGGAATAAAGACAAAGTGAATACACCGACTGAATGGAGACTTTCACTTTTTAAACAACAGAGCAGCGCAGAATAAAGGAACAGAAATGCATAAATAAACAGACTCCCCAGCCCCAAGCACAACAGTTTTCATTTAATCCACATGCAAAAAGGAGAGGAGAGCATCAGAAAGCAGCTCCGCTTTATTGAAACCTGTTAGTGGCGTGCCAAGATTACACTAAACAACAACAAGGCCTCTCCCTGGAAGCCAATAAAACTCCGACAACAAACACTTGGCTCGTCTACAGAGCTATTAGGAGCCACAGAGGTTGGGCACTAATGATACTTGGTACCTATCTAAGACTATTAAAGTAAATAATGAAACCAATAAAAGAGGAAAAGCTAAGAAAGAAGGGCAGAAAAGGAGAGGCTGAGAGAATATCTGTGAGCTGACTCATTTTTAGGTAGCCTGAGACGTCGTATGTCTGCTGCACTGCAAAAACACAAACTCTTACCAAGTACAACGGGTCTAGTTTCAAATATATCAGTACACTGAAAATAAAACACAACCAAATTTGAGCAAAAAAAAAAAAAAAAGGAACTTGGTTTAAGTCAGTAACTCCTTAATACTGATTGTAAAAAAGCCCTACTCCCGCTGGTATATTAATTCACTTATAACATGAGAATAAAGTATTTTTTTAAGTGAATAATCTGGGTTGCTAGGAGACGGCTCCAGTAGAACCAGAACTTTTTCATCAATATTAAGAAATTATTAACTTAAAACCAGCTGCTATAGCTTCACAAAAAGTTACTCGTCAGTTAGGTCTGGATTATTTACAGTGTACTACACTGCAAAAACACAAAATCTTATCAAGTAGTTTTGTTAAGTTTCTAGTTCAAATGTCTTAGTACACTGGAAAAAAGACAAACGTTATTACAATGAACTTTCCATCAAAATATAAGAGCCTGTTTTTAGTAAATAATTCCTTTAATACTGATGAGAAAGTAGTTCTTGTCCTTTATGTCACGTATAAAAAGACATTTTCCTCATTTTCTAAAGGAAATAATCCTCCACTCATGATAGTACTTTTTAAAAAACAAAATTACTGACTTAAAATAAACTCCTACATCTAGCTGAGAAGTAACTTTAAGTTTGTTTTATCATTTTTCAAGTGTACTTAGAGATTTGCATTAAAATTAGACCAAAATGACTTGGGAAGATTTTAGGTTTTGCAGTGTGAAAACTGTGAACTCTTCTATTTGCATGAAACCCTGCCAGACTTTCTTCAGGACTTTCTGTGATTTTTCCGTTAAACATCTAAAATCCAGCACCCTGGTCACACCTGAGTGAGTCTGAGACAGCGCCGATCCGGTCTGTCTCTCCGGCGATTCTGCGGCTCCGTGTGCAGGAAGCCCGCTAATCCCTTTGTCCGAATGCATGTATGCAACTGACAGCGCTTTGTGACCTCCTGGGGCCACGAGAGGTCACTCGAGCAGATAGAGAACTGCAGCTGGTGCAACATGCGATGTGGCAAAACCTTCAGCAAAAAGAAGATTTTGAAACGGCAAAAACACGACACATTACCACTGTGGTCCAGCTTCTACTGCAAATATCTTAGTACACTTCAAATTAGACTGAACTATCTTAGAAGCAACTTTTCAGTAAGATACAGGAGCTTGTTTTAACTATATAATTCTTGAATATTGATGGAAAGGTTATAGATCCATTAGCAGATTTTTTCACTCATAGAAAGACATTTTCTCATCCTATAAGTGAAATAATCTGCCAATGGAACTAGTAACAAACTGCTATTTCTTGCTGAAATGTTCCTTGTAAATAATTTTATCTTATTTCAAGCATGCAAAGATATTTGCACAGGAAAGTATACTTTCACTGTTTTTGCAGTGAAAAAAAAAGAAAGTGATACTCATCCTCTGAAATCACAGAAAGTCCTGGAGAAAGTCTGGCATCTGCTTATTCAATTAGAAGAATTTACAGTTTTCTAACAAAACAAATTCCACACGGCAAAAACACAAAACATTACCAAACGTTTTCTGTCTAGATTCTGTAGCAAATATTTTAGTTCACTTCAAATAAGACAAAACTAACTTACAAGTAACTTTCCTGCAAGATATAGGAGTATTGAATATTGATTAAAATTTACTGTTTTTCCCTTATAATGAGACATGTCCCCCATGTTATCACTTAATCTGCCAGTGGAACTATGCTTTAAAAAAGTTTCATAATAAATTATTGACTTAAAACAAGTTGATATATCTTGTAGTTAGTTTTGTCTTATTTAAAGTATACAAAGATATTTGCGCAGGAAAGTATGCTTGGTGAGATTTTTTTGTTTTTGCAGTGAAAAAATGAAAGTGGTGTTCCTTGAACAATCCAGACCTTCACTTCCATTACACTATCACCAGAAAGCTGTGAAGAAACGCAGAGCTACTACCTCACGCATGTAACCCCAAGAAAGCCCTTGTCATCTTTCATCCCACACCTCCGAATTGCCTTCATTTTCTGGAGGCCCATAAATTGGCTCTTATTGTCCCATAAATGACTCCTGTTGGGGTGGGATTTATAGTCTGGGGTGGCAATAGGGTGTGCAGGAGGGGAAAAGAGGGAGTATAAAATCCACCTTTTGATGTCTTTGCTGCTGAACAGCAACACATGCTGCACCGTACCTTCGCCACACATTGTTCGGCTTTTGATTCCCTCACAAGGAGGCACATTAAATATATGAAAGCGCATTTCTGCTTTCGTTCAATCATGAGAAGTAACGGCTGAATGGGAGTGGAGGGCTACGTTAAGATGTGCCACTTCCTCAGCTGTAATTAAAGCGCTCGGTGCAGGGGGTCTCCAGAAGCCGTGTTTGCTGCACTCCTTCTCCTGACCTTTTAAAATGAGGGATTACCATCAGAACGCCGTGCAGCAACCCAACCTGCAAAAGCCTGGGTGGTATTCTGTTCCTCAGAAGCTTGCATAATATTTTGGTTTGGTCAAAAGCTGCTAAGTATATTCTGATTATGGACAGAGATATATCTTATAAGTTGCTCAATCTGGTATTGTTTGCTTAATGAGCCAATACACCAGAAAGGTGTATTGTGTCATGTAAACTCTTCTATTCATGCAAATAGAAGAGTTTACAGTTTTACACAGCAAACACAACGTGTAATACTACTAAGTATTTTAGTTTAGTTTCACTTGAAATAAGACAAAACTAACTTACAAGCATTTTTTCAGCAAATATGCAAACTTATTTTAAGTCAATAATTTCTTTATATTGATAAAAATGTCCTGGTTCCGCTGACAGATCATATAACTTCCAGTCATACATTTTTCCCGTTTTAAGTGAAAAAAATAACTGAATTACTGACTTAAAACAAGCCCCAACATTTTGCTGAAAAGCTACTTGTAAGTTAGCTTTGTCTTATTTATTCACTAATTTATTTGCACTAAAAATTATATCAATAATATTTGGCAAAATGTGTGTTTTTTCTGCAGTGAGTGATTCACAGTACACACAAAGAAAATTAAAACAGGATGTTTATGGTAAGATTTCGCTCTTCTTTTCGAACAATATGTAAAAATAAGGATGTACCTGAAAATCTATTCACGTAAGAATCACAAATCTCGTTGACTACAATTCAGAAGTGATTATAAAACGTCCCAGAATTGTTCATTATTTAAAAACAAACAAAAACAAAAAACGCTAACTGTTGGCATCCATTTTGTAACTATCCGGGACGTCCTGACGTCACCGGGCAGCCGAGACTGGAACGTACGCATGCGCAGAAAGAACCACAGCAAAAAGGAAAGCGCGAGAGGTTCAACCGGCGTCGTCTTCGTTGGAAGTCAAACATTCTGACTATTCTTTACTTTTTTTTACTAACTTCTGAGAAATACCGAGATTGAACCGTATGAAAGGTTCGCAAAGTGGAACTTGAGGATTTCGGGGAGGCAAACATGAGGAGCCAAGCAACAGCTAAGCTAAGGTACGTCACACCCTCACGCTATGCGACGTGCTGTGTGATTGGTCAGAAGTTTGTTGCAATGTTTATACTTCGCTTCTACTATCGACATGAATACTGAACTGTTTATGCGATGCGGTGAGAAATGATGTACATTAGCGCGATTATTAACAAGTTTTCAAGTTGCTTAAAAAAAGAAACTGTTTTCATTGAAAATGTGCGAAAAACTTTTTATATTTTTTGCTAATAATATTTCCCAATAATCTCCCAAAGTAAGTCTGTTCATACCACGCCATTAAAACATGGCCACCACGGGGAACATCCGGTTGTTGATCACGTGACTCGTGTGCTGCGAAAAAGTGTTTCTGTTGCAATTTTGTGACAATAACCAATTTCTATGGAAACGTTCGTTTTTTGGAATGTTTCCAATGATCACATTTATTGTCGAAATGTCAAATTGCTGAATTGTTCAATGGAAAGGCAGTCAGTGGGGAATGCTGCTTTGAGGTCCAACCGTCTGTATTAATGTTTTCTCTTTGGCTTGTTGCTCATCTGTTTTGTTGTCGTTTGCTCCTATCAGTTGTCTTTATCCTCTATCGTCATACGAATCGTTCACACTCCATCGCCTCGCTGCCTTTCCGGTTGTTTTCTTTCTGCCTTTCGATTCTTTGTGTGCTCACTTCTTTCTCTCTTTCTGGAGCTGATGATCCAGGTGATAGTGACACAGCCTGCTGTATGCCAGTTACCACAGTGTTGACAGCTGGCAGCCCAGGTGCACATGCAGCTGGGAGGACTTTGAGTGTGTGTGTTGTACATATCAGGGACAGAGGGAACACAGGTGTGATTGTGGTGGAGGGATCGTGGGAGAACGGTAAGCGACTGGAGAGCAAAGAAAAGAGTCGTAGTAGTGACCTTTGACCTCTGAAGTTCCCCAGATAAAGCAACTTGGACGCGTTTGGGCATCTCGACGTTCTTTCGTCACTTAAGAATCTGTCTTGGCGAGCCCAACTGAGTCAAGGCATGAAAATATGCTGGTTGGAGCTCAGATGACATCAGCTTCTTCAATTGAACTCTAAAAATGGTTGTGATGACTGGAAAGATAAAAAGTGAAATCCAGACAATTCACCATCTCTTAGAAGTTTTTTCCCTTGCTCCTTCTTTGGTGAGTCAAAGCCAGTTGAGTCATGATGGCGCATTCCTCCTGTGGCGCACCTGCTATCTGTTCCCTTCCTTTCTATTCTTTCGCACCCTTTCCTCTGGGAACATTCCAGGATTCTCCGGTCCTGGACCTTCCCCTCCCTGCCCGCTTCCCCCCATGCACCCTCTCTTGAGAGCGGGAGGCCGCATCGCCGTCACTCACCACTTGGTGATTACCGACACAAAGGGGGCCTTGGTGGAACCGGCCGCGGCCGTTCAACGTGCGCCGCCGCTGGGGAGAGAGAATGGAGGAAAGTCCCTCACCTCGGCCGATTCTACGCCGCTTTCCATCGCCCGCTCCTCCAGCGACGATGACAACTCTGTCAGTGTGGATTACGACAGTGCGGTGTGTGTCGGCACAAGCACCAACAGTGATTAAAGGCGTGCCGCCGCACCTCTGTCGACCCGTTCCTCTTTCAGCTCACTCACTACTTTTCCCTCTAAACCAATTTTGAGATTGAAAAGCTTCTCTTGCTTTGCCAAATAGAGCTCAGACTTTTAATGTTTTGTTTTATGTGGCTCCAATTAACCTTGTTAATGTTATGTTGAAGATGAAAGTCAAGCTCTTTATGGCAAACGGTACCTGAGAAGTTTGTTTTTATAGGAAGTTCACACATAAAGCTATGATTAAAATAGTAAAGACAGTATGTGTTCTCCTCTTTACTTCCAAAATATTCGTTATAGTCATAAAATCAAAAAGAAGAAAGAAAGTCATAGTTGAAAGACTCGTATTTACCAGCCCTGTAGAGGAAACGGCAATCATGTGGAAGAACATGTTCCGGTCTTTGGTTCAGATGAACCAAAGCTGAACTTTCTGCCGTACGTTGCAGAAAACTAACGCTGCACTCAGCTTGGATACACCGTCATCACAGTGAAGCATGATGGTGGCTGCCTCATGCTGTGGGACTTGCTGTTCTTCTTGGCAAGAGTTGACTGTATGAGACTTCAGAAGGGTTGAGGTTCATCTTCAGGACAGTCACTCTAAACATACGTAGAGGTTTAGATTAAAGCCTTTTCATGTGAGAATATCGTAGTCAAAGTTCAGACAGACATTGCAAAGAAAATGGGTAAATCTTTCAGTATCTAGGTGTGCAAAGCTAGTAGAGACATAGCCCAAGAAGTTGCTAAAGTTGCATCAAAAGCTGCTTCCATTACAAGTGTACAGAAAACTTTAATGTTCCACTAATGTTGAAAAAACACAATTTCACAATTGCATTGTTAATATTGAGTAAGAGTATCATAAAAAACCATGCAGCTCTGCTTCTTCCTGTTGTCATCTTCTTCATAGTTCCTGCCAGTGGTTGTTGCTGATGATGTGACTCGTGTAATGTGAAAAAAGTTTCTAGTGGAGTCATCCCAAAAGTAACCCACCTCAACCTAGTGCAAAAAAAAAATATATATATACATATTTTTTTCAAAATTGTTATGTCTCAATTTCTTTTCAAAATATCAAATTGCATTCTGGTGGAAACGCAGCTAATTCTTCCCACATCAAATGTCAAATTCGCCTTCATTTTCACAATTTCACTATTTTTCGTTGGTCCATCAGATAAGATCTCAGAAATATGTTGGAGATTGTGGTTGTAACAGAAGGTGGAAGAACATTCAGGAGGTGTGAATACTGTTGTGAGAAAGAGAGCAGTGAAGGATTGTGGGATGGGAAGGTGGAGGTGGTGCTGGTGGAGCACTCATTTCATGCTGAGGTGTGGAGGCGTACCTCGCCAGCGGTGGGACAAATAAACTGATTTCATTGTGGCGTCAGAGGAAGCCCTGAGGTCGGACTGTTTGGCAGTAGCTCCTCAGTTTCTGATTCATTTTAATCTGGAATGTATCAGATTTTAAATGTTTCTGTCCATTTTGTTGCACATTATCACTTGCACACATGAACTTTAGGACATCACTGCCTTCTCAGCATCCATAAAGACATTGACACAGTGGTAGACAGGTGCGCTCGGAACTGGGAAATTCCCACTTCCCAGGCATGAAAATCCACTGGAATGCCTCTGACGTCAAATTTTCCTTTGGGAAACACCATGACTTGGAAGGTGTACATCAATATGGCCGCTCCTCACGTAACCAGCAGTAGAAACATGTTTACTTTACGAAACACACATGCAAAAATCTCTTAAATCAATGTTACATGTATCATCTTCAACCCTAAGATGAAAAAATGGAAAAACTTAAAATGATGCATGTAAGAGCAACTGAAACCCATTTTTATGGGTGTCTCCATGTTGGAATTCCAACTTCTGGCATCAAACCAGGAAACTGGAACGCAGCGTCAGCTCCATCCATCATCCCATCAGCTAATGCAGATGCACATCCCACTTTTGAAAAGCACAAATCATTTCACTTTGCATTCAAGGCTTCTGACTCACTATTTCTGATCAATGTAACATTCTGAGATCTTGAGTGAAGAATTGGAAATATCAAACTTCTCCCACCCAAACAGCCATCTTGGTAATTGCTGAGTCAGATCCTCCTTCGCACCTGCATCAGTTTACAGGCATATTAACAAAGTTTTATGAACATTTACAATGATTTTGCCTTGCAGAAAGAACACTTTCAAGCTTTTTTTTAACCTTCTCTTCCTCTTTGATTGTGCATTACACACACTTTCCTCTGTGCTTTTCCTCTCAAGCCACCTTTCCCCCTAAACTTTACTTCTTTCCTTCGCCCCGTTTCTCCCCGTTCCTCCCCGTTCTCTCCCTCCTTTTTGGCATCGGCTGCAGCATCTCTTTTAAGGCACATGTCAAGGGAACTGTCTGCTGCTTTCAAAGGCCTTTGTGTCCAGCCTTTCTTCCCCTTAATTTGGTTTCCCTAAAACGTTTTCCCATAGCTCGGCTGTCTCGCCCCTTTCTCTCCCGGCTTTCCTTTCTCCTCTCGGCTCTTCCACAGTCTCAGCAGGAAAGCCATTCCCAATGTATTTCACTAGAAAAACACCTGAAATATTGCTATTAAAACTCACAAAGTGACTTTTAAACTAAGGAGTCATACGTAAGTAATAGGGCATATGTGAGGATTATTGCTTAATAAATAAAAAAGAAAACATTTTGGAGTTTTGAAAGGTTTAATTTTGACCAAATGTGGGTAAAGGATTTGATAAAAAGTTACTCAAGTACTGAGCAACTGATTAAATTATGAACTGTATAATATTTAAAAATGAGTTCATCAGATGGACCAAAATATAAAGTTAGGTGGGAATTTTGGTGTTTTAGGGACAAAAATGACAATAATTTATATAAATAACAAAATATAACTAAATCTGGCAAAAGAAAATATTTCCAAATCAGTTTCTTTCAATAAAAAAAATACATGAAACTTTAACGGAAACTGCAGGTGTGTGTCTGAGTCTGGTGAATTTTAGGTTTGTTTTTAATTCAGTGGGTAGAAAATAATAAAATTTCACTAAAGTAAAAGTAGAAATACTTCATAATAAAATTACAGTGTAGTAAAAATACTCGTACAGTATTTTTTCTTTCAAAAAGTTACTCCAGTAAATGTAATTGAGTAAAATAACTAGCGACAATACGCTAGCTAATGCTAAAACAGCAAGTTAAATGCGATAACCATGGCAACCAGCATACAAGTCTTTTTCATGATATTTCATGCAAATGATAAAAACTAGTAAAAACTTTACTGCTCTGAAAGTAGGTGGATTCTTGATAGTAAGAAACTGATTTCTTACTATTTTCAATTCAATACAGCGTTTGTGTTTACAGTGCAGGAGGAAGGTGAGGAACCCGCGCAAACCTGGACTTTGTATCAAATTCATCTCTTTGCAAAATAGTTTCCAGCTTTCAGCCATCAAAACACTGTCACATCAA